AACCCTAAACCCTATGACTCCTAAAGAGGCGGAAGTTCTACGTCTCAAGGAAGAGTTGACTGTCGAACGAGGAGTGTGTTGATTGAATGTCTAGCTTAGGTGGACCCCCCACCCAGTAATAGCGACTTCAGGTTTATAAGGTTTAAGCTTTAGGGTTTAGGGGGCCCTCCACCCAGTAAGAGTGACTATAATGGATAATAAGGGTTGTATTAGGGTCCTCTTCTATTCTCATTATACCACGATGCAGGGGGGGTCCTCATAATGTCTAGCATTTCCGTACACTTAGTTGGGGTTCTTTGCTGGGAGTCTTTATAACCAGGATCATGATAATATATTGGGGCCTATATTCGGGTCTCCCAATTTTTTTGGTAAGCTCCCAGTCAAGCATCAGATCTGTCCGCCTGCAGGACTATTGGAATCTGAAGGCAACCAGGAGGGATAAAGGAGAAAATTGGCCGGTTGATCGATATAATATACGGATTATGCGGGCATATGAAGATATAGACCATTCATCTATATGAGGTCTCCCCTCTGTTTTCCTAACGAGTCTTCGGGTATGTTTGGGACTTCATGGCAAGCCTTCGGACAAGAAAGATAATTCAAATTTCTACGGAATCTATACGAGGCACTGAAAGTGTAGTGTCTTCGTGACTTTAGAATGGGAATCTTTTCAATATTATATAGAGATATCCTCTCATTTGAGGGAATCAATCTTCTCAATCAATCCATATTCTTCTGATATTGAGAAATAATGTTTTTCATCTTCTGATATTGAGAAATCAAGTTTGCTAGATCATAGAAGATGGTGTACATATATAGATTGAGATATAATACCTGAATGAAACGGCGCGGCCATGTCGCTCGCGCGGGGCCTAGCTTTTCCGACACTGCATTCACATGCTTCCTGCGGGCTGCCTAGGGGCACTAGGATTTTAGGGCCCTTCGGAAAAGATAGAGGCGCTAAAATCTCAGAGATGTTTGGTCGGGGGAGTTGACGACAAATCTCAAAGATTCTTGGTCGCGCGCCCCCCTCCCCTCTCTCCGCCGCAGCCATCGGTCTTTCGTGGAATTGCAAGTACGGTCAATCAGTCAGGGTGTCGGTCTGTGAATCTCTCCGTGCTGCGGTCCGTGGTTCTGATGGTCTGTCAGTCTCGCACGTCTCACGGCCTGTCGGTCTATGAGCCTGTCAATCAATCTCCGTCAATTTGTCAGTCTGACTGCCTATCTTCTGTGGAATTTGTCAGCCTTTCAGTCTATCCGTCAAACGGTCTGAAAAAGAAGGTCTGTCGGTCTATCGATTTATTATCGACGAGACTACTGGAATTTGGATCTATTAATCTCTCGATCTCATATGATATCGAGATCATTGATCTCAAAATATCGATGCGATGATCTATCTATTAATGAATCTGACGATATCTTATTTTTATATTCTAATTCTTATTCTAATTTCTCTCTCTCATGATATATCATAATAATATTCTCTAATATTATTAATATCAGAATTGAAACGCTATTTAAGGCAGTGGAAATTATTCGTTTGAGGATATTCATAATGAGAAAGTTACTATTGAATTAATATATGAGATCGCATTTGAAGCCCGATCTACGATTATCTAAAAGATCGCATATGATTAAGATAGGCAGCTTAAAGATTCTGAAAAATTTTGGATTTCCGGCCCGAGATCTATAATCGTCGCGCGTGACCCTTATATTTTCTTTAATCTTTCTATTTCATTTAATTCTCTTGGGCTATGGAGGTAGATATGGCTAATTTATAAATTCTGAAAATTTGATATTCTCCGTCTCGGGAAATATGCTCTCTCGAATAGTAATATAGATAGCCAAAGAGAAATAAATGATAGGAAAACCGCGCTGGATACAAATTGAAAGATTTTGGAATTCTGTCTGGAGTCTATAAATTAAATAACCGGAGAAATAAATTCATGATATTATTGATCTTGCGGCCCTCGCATCCGTCTTAGTCTTTCCGTCTTATTTATCTCTCTTGGGTTAATT